CCCCAATGTCTGACTACCAGCTCACACTGTCTTTTATTGCAAACTATCTTTGACATGACTATTTTACTTCTCTTAATTCAAAGTCACAGACAGACATAAACACAGTGAAATAGATAGGCCATTAGAATAGATTTGATAACGTCCTACCTAAATTATAATCAAAGCTGCCTGAAGATACATATAGAGACTTGAATATCCTACCTTTGAAGATAGTCCCGGAAATTCTTTCTGGTTCTTATCTTTATATATCTTTATACACTTTTGCCGTGTCTTTGAACACAGAACAGGCTTAGAATGCAATAAACGGCCTAGTGCTGTAGGCCTCCTAAGACTACAATTTTACAGTTGTGCTTCTCAACAAACCCAGTACTTAGCATGACATATGTAACAGACACCTGATGTCACTAACCTGAGAAACAATTGGGACAAGCAGTCCCAACATATGAAAGTCCCAACAAGCGTTGTCAGTTATTTAAAATCACTTTGGATTTTAGTTTTGTCATTGATGCCACTGACTGAGGTCTCTAGTACATCTCACATTTAAACTGACAAACTAGGTTACTGATTAATCAGACTCAAATTCAGCTGCTCAATTTCTTTCATTAAGGTAGTCTGAAATTCTGTACATTTTTTTTCCTATTCAGTAATCAAGTGGCTGTACTACCTTTGCCTAGCTGAGATTTAGACATCAATTACTTTTTTAAAAAATCTGGACCAATAAAATGTGAAAAATAAAAAAGGCAGCAGTTTCTGATGAAACATTCTCTGCCTTGGCATTGTTAAGATGAAGCAAATACAGCTGCACACGGGAACGGATCACTTAAGACGTTTTAACAGCAAAAATGATTGAAGTCCTTTTACCGCAGTGTTGTCTGTTCTATAAGAGGATTGGAAATCTGCCAATGTATTATGCTGGATTTTGCTCCAAAATAAACTACAGCCAGCACAGCTGGAAGTGATAGAAGTGTGTCCAGGATAAATACCTACTCTCTGCCCTCTATCCCAGCTGTTAAATCATTCTATCCCTTTTCTTTTCACAGCATGTAGCACTGGAGGATTTCTACCCTCTCCTCTCTGCAAAGCTCCTCATCTCTCCTCATCCTGTAGTTACAAAGACCTGATACATCCTTACTGTGCGAAGACTTATTTTACCAAATCCACAATTTGCATGTATCTTCCACCCTGTAAACAGCTGTACCTCTTCCGAACAGCTCTGGTTCTTCCTAGAACACTTGCTGCACTACCACTCTGTCCTTTGAATGAAGCAAAGGTCCCAGGGGGAAAAAAATCATGAAAGCTAACACCAAAAGCACTTGCAAAGGGGTTCAAACAAAACTTGTGCTGACAACCTTAATTTCACAATTTCCTAATCTTTAAATTGTTAATATCTTATTAGTTATTATATATTATAAATAGTTACAATTTAAATTATATTTTTATTTAATAACATATTATTTTATATTAATATAGCTACATCGTGTGTTTATTTTTATAATTGTGATTTACTGTAAATGTATTGTCAAATATGATTTTTAAGGAATTGTAATTGTAGCTAAGATACTTATTTAATATAATAAACTTACATGGACACGGGTTTATGAAAAGCAATGTGATAGACAAAGCTTTTGCTATCCACTTGATGATAGCATCAAACAACTTGCTTGTAAGATTTTTACAAAAATCCCCCAAAGGTTAAGAGATCTGTATAGTACTTACTTTCTCCAAGCACTCTTCAAACTTTCTCCTTTCCTCTTTTTTTTTTCTTACTATTTTTTTTCATACTCTTACAGTTCTCTGCTCTGCTTCACCCACGAGGGCAATTTATTCAGCTCGGCCATTCGAAGTCTAATGCGTTTAATGTTCTGTCACAGTATAAGCAAACATAAATAGTTGGTATGATTATTAAAATCATTAAAATATCTTTATTTTACTGTGTTAGAAGCAAAAGCAGTTTCATTTGCAAACGCACAATATATTCGTGGCACTTTTCCCCTGATAAACCCAACATTTTGTTAAGCTAGCTACTGTTATTTTTCACATAAACAGGTTTTAACGATACTAAGGCGGAGGGGATAAAGCTCAATTGATTTCTGCAGCTGAGACACAGTTCATAAACAAATAAAATCCAGCAGAAGCGAACAGAACAAGGGGCGGGACAACGCTGGTTACTGCTTTGGAACAGGGATAAATCTGGAAAAGCTGCTGGTCGGGACAGGAAACCGCCTGGCTAAATGCAGCTGGCTGAAGGACGCGAACCGATGTAACAGCTTCTGTTTCTCTTCCAGGGGAGCTTTATGCAGAAAACAGGCACTTTCACAGGCAGGCATTACAGAAGAGCAGACGCCCTGGGGACACGCCGTGCTGCGGGGGAGCGCAAGCAGCTGCAGTTTCTGCCCCGGGTGTCCTTCTCGGCCGGTGGGCACAAAGGAGACAACTCCCTGCCTACCCCCTGGCTCCCGTCTAATTCCGAATTCTGTACGTACAGGCTTGGCAGCGCTTACAAGGAATATCACCAACGACCCCCAGCACGGGGGTTAGGGCCCTCGCACCCCCCGGGGCGGCAGCCTGAGGTAACCGCGCGGGGC